GGGCAGAGCTGCCGTGCAGTTTGAGTTTGTAAGCACGTGCCTGCACCACCTATTCAAACAAATAAATCACTTGTAGGGCCTGACAACTCACCTGTCAGCATCTCCCAACCGACCGTGAGCCCCTGAGGACAGGAGCCCTGTGGGAGCAGCTGCTGAACTCCCGGTGTCCAGCACGGCCTGGCACGCAGGCATGCGGAGTGCATGATGGCCCCTCTGTTGGGACCTCCTCTCTCCAGGCACCATTCCCAGGAGACTCCCACAGATTGGGGCTGGAGCGTGCTAGGGTGGCCTGGGGAGGGTCAGGCCTTGGTGGGAGGCAGGTCTGGAGAGCTAGTTCCCAGACATGACTGTCCTGGCAAGCGGGACTCAGGTGTCCAGGTATATGCAAGCCTCCAGGCGCCTCAGGCAGACTCCTTCAGTCAAGGACTAGATGCTCAGGCCCCGGTGGAGGCCCCACTGCATGCAGGGTGCTGATGTCCCCATCTGCCTCCGGGGCTGCACAAGGGACCAGGAGGCATCACCATGACAACAGCCTTGGCAGTGCCAAGGAGCTAATCATGAGGATTTCACACCTCTGACGGGCTGAGCTCCAGGCCTCTGGTGGGCACGGGCACCAGGCTGAAGGCTGGGCTGAGGGACAAAATGAGGCCCATGGGCCCAGGAAGAGACCTGCTGGGGCCACGTCTGCCATCAGCCCCAACTTGAGGCCACCCTCCCCTGTAGCCTCATCCTCCTGCCCAGCAAAGCAAGGCTGCTCCAGCCTGAACCCCAGGAGAGAGGGCTGGGTGTGACCTCTAACCAGAGCCTTGAGCGGAAAGAGCCCCAAAGCAGGAGCAACTTGACTGCCCACCACCCATCAGGTGAGGGATGAAGAAGCAGACAGGCCTTGTTCCCACAGGGAGACACCCCCACGGTCACCTGGAATGAGCGGCTTTAATGAGCAGGCATGATTAAGGGAGTGGGAAAGAGCCTCTGTGAGGTGGGACAGCCACCCGCTGCTTCGAGCGCGCACAGATGACGCTCTATGTTTTCTGTGGATGCAGAAGTGGGAGAACACAGAATCCAGAAGCTGGGAGAGAGCGGGGGCGGGTGGGGACAGAATGGGGCCGGAAAGGGACCAGCATTTCTTCCATTTTTAACGTAGGTTGAATTCCTATTTTACTTGTGTTATCAGCATAATTTTCAGTAAAAATAAAAAGTCCTTGCTCTAGTTTGCTTTCTGAGCCCCCATTTGACACTGAGGCCCGCCCCGCCCCCACACCGCCGCCAACACTCCCTCCGCACTCATCCCTGCTCACAGGAGAGCGTTTGGGACAGGATTCACCGGTGTCCCCTCCCTTCCTGGGCAGCTGCCGGCCAAGCTGGACCCAGCAAGGGCTGAGAATGGTTTTGTGTTTTTAATGGTTGAAAATCAAAGGGGGGATAATATTCTGCGACACATGAAAATCATGTGGAATTCCAATTTCAGTGTCCCGAGAGTTTATGGGAACGCTGCCATGCCCACCTGTCCTGGGGAGAACGGCTTCCCGCCATAAAGGCAGAGCTGAGTGGCCTGAAAGCTGGAAATACATACTTTTTTTGTGGACACAGGCTGTTGACCCCAGTCTGGACTGCAAGCACTAGGAGGTGGGTCTTCCTTTATTCTATTATGTACCCCAAATGCCTACAACAGTGTCTGGAGCATAGTAGGTGCTCAGTAAGTCTGGCCGAAGGAGGGAATGGAAGTGTGTGTGGCGGAGCATGTTGGCTTCCAGGTCGGAGAGGCAGGGACCCGCCTGCAGCTCCGTCTGACAGACAGGGCCGCCTGTGGAGGCTATGGGCTTGGGTCACCCTGAGCACTGGGAAAGTGGGGTGGGGTGGGGTGGGGTGGGGTGGGGTGGGGTGGGATGGGGGATGGTGGGGTTGGAGGCAGCGTTGTCTGTCCCCAGAGTGGCCCCAGCAGAGGGCGGCAGGCCTCTGAATGAGTGACATGGCCTTAACTCAGCCTCAGGGGCTCCCCTCGATGACCCCACACTCACAGCCCCCCTGCCCTGCTTCCCGCCGCACTCGTCAGCTGCACTTTGGTGCCCTCTGGTGGTCACTAGTAGTGGCTCCTCCAAAGCATGTGACCCAGTGGCCTGGCTGGCTACCGGTCTGGGAGGTGACCCTGTCCTGACCTCCCTAGGCTGCCAGACCAGATCTGAAGGTTTGCCTGTCCCGGGGCTCTTTCTGTCCCTTCTGGTTCCCCTCCAGCCCTCTCTCTGAGGCAGCACACTGTCACAGGGCACCTTCCCATGAGCTGGAAGCACCTTCTGTGGTCCAACGAGGCAGGCCCAGGGTCCCTAGGGCACTGTCCCACTGCCAGACAATGACCGCCTCTGCCACTCCAGTGGGCACCCTCCCCAACATAGGGTGGGACAGTCACCCTGGTCCCCATGGCCCAGGGACCTGCCTCAAAGGATAGGCAGGGGGCCTCACACACTTCCATGTGATTTCAACATATCTGGAAACATCCCCATCTGAGCAAGGGCCCCTCGGTCCAAGGAAAATAACTTTTGAGTTCTGCCTTGGGGACAGGAAGTTTGTCTCTGACCAGTGTGAGACACCACCTAGCAGTGCATCTTGCCCATGTCACCACACACACATCGCACCACCAGCAGCTGCTCCTCCGGCCTCTGCCGAGAGACTCTGGGCTCCAGCAGGCGAGGGCGAGGGCAAGTGCGGGCCACCTCTGTGAACTCAGCCTCCAGCAGAGCCTACCTGAGTGGGTGCATGGCTGGGTAGGTGGGTGGGTGGCTATCCTGTGGCAGAGTTGAGCTTCGGAGAACTCTGGGTCCCCGGCCAGGGTCACAGCCACTGCTGCCATTTCACCAACCCCGTTTCCAACACCACCCGGCCCCGCCACTTCCCTCTGTGCCTGCCCTCTGCCCCTCACCACTCCCACCTCTTCAGCTTCAGGGCCTCTAGGGCAGATGGTACCAAAACCTGGAACACTGTCCCCCTGGAGCTTCCCAGAGATGGACCCCCTCCTCTAGCCGTCCCCATCAAAGGGGGCCCCTCTCCCAGGCACCCCAGTGTTCACTGTCCAGCCTGCCACTCTTACTTTTCCATGCATACATGATTAACACAAATGCTTGCTCACCCACTTGGTCCTGTGTCTCCCCCACAAGAATGCAGCCGAGAGACCCCGCCCTCGTCTCCCTGCATCCCCAGCACTGAAGTAGATGCCCAGCTCGTGCTCACAGGTAACACCTTACTGTCCGTGGCTGGTGGCCACTGCGAGGGTGCATGTTTCACCCAGATGCGTCAGAAGGGCAGGGCAGGCCTGGGGCAAAGCTCCAGCCAGAGGGGTCAGAGCTGGGGGCCTCTTGCAGCTGTGTGCTGGGCAATCCCCTCCCAGCTGAGCTGAAGTTTCATCAGGAAAAGAATCTCCACCTCTCACGGATGGGGGTGGTGAGGTTTGTTGGGGGCGGGGCGGGGCAGGGGGGGGGGCAGTAAAAGCAAAAGCGTCAGAAATCAGAAAATGCAGGACAAACGCACCAGACTGTGACTTGAATCTACTGTGGCATCTATAAACCGCCTGCACCTGGCAGCCACCATGGACCCCAGGACACGACACTGGGTGCACGCCCTTCACCTGTGCACCCAGCAGCAGCTCCAGCACCCTGAACAGCAGAGCAGCCAGGGCCCCGGGGTCCCTGTCCCAGAAGGGTCCACAGTAGCACCAGGGCCCAAGCTGGCCCCACACCTTTTGTTTGGCTTATAGGGTTTTAATTGTTTTTCATCAGTTGCCAAGAATTTAAAAATCAAAATATTCTACCTAAATATCTGGATTTCTGGCTGCCCCAGATTACTAACATTAGGCCTCCGTTCTTACTTTAGAGCAGTGAGCTGCAGCTTAGTGACAGCCACCAACTGCGGGTGGGGATGGGCGTTTTGCTGTGACCCCCACCACACCCGAGTGTCTCAGGCCAGTTGCTGCTACCAACTTGTTCGTGCAAATACTTCTCGTCACAAAGCAACGTCAGTGTGTGTGTCTTTGGTAACAACAGGAAAGTCCAAGTAGCACCGAAAAATCCTCACTGCTCTAAGGCCCACTTCGTTCATCTGGAATGTGCCCTGCCAGGCCCTCAGGACAGCGGAGTCTGACATCTGGGGACCGGCCACACAGGGCAGGCCCCGGAGGGGTGTGGCCATCTCTCCACACCCCCCCCCCCCCCCGCTTCATGCAGCTGAAAAAGGCACTGCTGAGAAGAGCAGCCAGAGCCTCCCAAGTCTGAGCCACTTTGCTCCTTTTGAAGCTTTCAAATTCGCCAAACCCCAAGCACTAGTAAGCAGGGTGGACACACCAGGCACTTGACTGTACCTGGTGAGGTTGCCAGAGAAAGCCAGATGCAAGGAATGCTGTACTGGTGCGGCCTCTGGTGGCCACAGGGCAATTCTGCAAGTCACTGGGAAGGTTTTGAACTTGATTCCAAAGAATGAGCCCAGAAGCCAATCATGGATGAGCCCCCAACTGCTCTGCACCCCCACGGGTGCCCAGCTCTGGGCTTCCAGCTACTGCCTTTCCCAAACCTTCTTGATTTCTGCCCCACCTCTTAGCCACCTTCTTGGGCCCACTGGCACCCGTTTCAGTCCCCAGCAGGGCCAGCCCCCTCCATGGCCTCTTCAGAGTAGGGTCCAGCCTCCAGTCTTCACATCCAGAGGTTCCCTTCAGGCCTGGTCACAGCAGCCTCCTGCTGTTGGCAGGGCATAGCCCCCAGAGCTGGGCAAGGCCGACATCCAGCCCACAGGGTCGGCAGGGCAAAAGGGAGCAGGCGGGCCCCAGCGGATGAGAGTGTGCTCCGGGAGAGGTTGCCGCTGGAGAGCTGCTGCGGCCAGATCGGGACTTTTATGTGAACTAGACCGAGTTTTAAAGTTTGGCTCAAATGAGCACACAACCCAGGCTGCAGAAAAGAGGTCAGGGTGGGTCCCGGCCAGGAGCCCCACGGCTGACAGAACCAGGGGTGGGTGGACGCCAGTGGTTTTCAAGGTTTTGTTTATTTGAGTAGTTTGTATCCATCATCGTGTTTGATCCTGAGAGGCAAGCAAGGGAGAGAAAACTCTTAGACACACTTGGAGGCTGAAGCGGGCCCCCGGGAAGGCCAAGGTCCCAGCTAACAGAGGAACTCAGAGGCTGCATGAGGCAACAGCAGGCCCCACACCTCCCCTGCACCCCCATGCAGAGAGGCGTGTTCCCACCCGTGCCCCTTCTACTCCACTGGAGAGCCCACCACACAACCAGAGCAGACGGCAACTCCCTGTGCACCCCCCCACACGCAGCTCCAGGACCGGCAGCCCAGGCGCAGCAGCGCAGCTTTCTGCGGGGCCCGTGCAGGGCTCTGGTCCAAGCAGAAACGCCTCCCGCAGCCTCGCCCACCGCGGCACAGTGTGGGTCCCTGGGTAGGCCGGGCGGGCAGCCCTGGCCGGTGCGGCAGCCTCACCAGTTGGCCTTCACTGCCTTGATGTCGCTCACGAGGTTCTGGGCCAGGCAGATGCCAAAGACCTGTAAGTGGGAGAGGAGGTGGGGGAGAGGAGGTAGGGGAGAGGCCACTGGCAGGGGAGAGGCCACTGGTGGGGTGGCCTGGGGTGAGGGAGTGGGGCGGCACTTGGAGAGCCCAGGGTACCTGGAGCAGGGCGATGCCCACGAAGACCCCGGCCACGACGATCAGGTTGTCCTGCAGCCACTTCTCGAACTGCCCCACACAGCCTTTTGTGTAGATGGAGCCCTGCTGCTCCAGCTCCTGGGGACACCCAGGGATAGGGACAGGGCTCAGCCCAGCCACCAGTGTGGGCCTGGGCTCACCTCGCCCCGATGCAGGCCTCCGAGCGACTGGCTGCTTCCCCTCGGTGGCTCTGGGCACAGAGGCCCGCTCCTCTGAGAGGCCCTCTCCCACAACCCAGCCCCAATCCCATCATCCCCCGTCCTTTGTTTTCTCCCCAGGTCTCAGCTGAAATCATCACGTTGCTGCTCATACTTCTTTACCGATGAGCTCCCTGTCCCTCCCTCCGCTGGAGTGGGGGCTCCTTGAGAGACGGGGCCCTGTCTGCACTGGGGGCGTGTGTCCAATGTCGGACACGGCTAGCTGCCTGGCGGGTGCCTGGTGGGTGCTTGGCAGGTGCTCCATGAAGAGTCGGAATGAGCACACACAGCTGTGCCCATGCCCGCTGCCCCTGCGTCTGGTGGCACCAAGGCCTGAGTGCAGGGATGGTTCTCAGGACCCAGCACCCCCTCCCCACAGATCACTAAGGCCTTCCAGAGGAGCTTCTGGGAGCCCTTTCCACCTCAGAGCCCCCCACCCCATCCCCACTCCTCTCACCAGTTTGAGCCGGACATCGTAGCCGCACTGGGTGTTGAGAACGTCTTCCTAAGGAAACACAGGCAAACGGGCCACGTGTGAGGAGCACCCGGGGCCCACAGCGCCCAGCTCTGCGACGGCTGCTGCTTCTCGGGGGAAGCAGATGGGACGAGATTCCTGCATCCACGGCTCCCAAGCGAGGCTCGCTGGGGCCGTCCGTGGGCCTCTCTGCCTGACGCCAGGGCGCACAGCAGCATATCAGCTCGAGCTCTGCCCTGTTTCGGAATCCTGCCTGCTCTTGTTCTCCAAGAACAGGAAGAACCCTGGCCCTCGGTGTCCCTCCCGGGTGAGCTGCGACTGCCAAGAGGCCACTCCGAGAAGTCTCTGCTCTGAAGGCAGCCGCCCCAGCACAGTGGCCCAGGGGTAGGGTGGCTGGCTGCAGCCTGGGGGCCCTGCCACACACACCCATGACTGAGGTAGGGCCCAACTCCGGCCCCCAGAAAGCCTTCAGGCTGGCCAGGAACAGCCGCTGCCTGGGCTGTATTTGGCTGGAAACACAGGGTGCCCAGAGCTTGGTGGGCCAGGCCCTGAGCCCAGGGGCTGGCAACTGCCATCTTGCTATAATCAGAGACAGGCTTTGCTGAAGAGGTACAGCTCCTGCACCCCCCGCAGGTCTCAGACACAAGCCCCCCCCAGGCTGGTGGGAGGGGGGCCCACATAAAGTGACTTCCTTCCAACATCCACAGCCCCCAGAGGGGCCGGGCAGCCCTGTGGTGGGTTTTCCCCAGACGGGGCCTGCAATCTGCAATGCCCTCTGCCCCTCCGCAGGCCCCACTCACCGCAGGGTCTCGGACGCAGCAGGAGAAGGGCACCCCGCAGCGCTCCCGGCTCGGGTTCAAGTCAGTGCAGTTGAAATAGATATTGAGGTTCCAGTCGTTGGGCCCTCGGGCTCCGCAGCAAGACCACTAGAGGGGTGGGGGAGGCGAGACACCCAGGTAAGCCAGACCCACTGTTTGGGGACAGGCTGGGGCTTTAGAGAGACAGGACCAGGCTGGGAAGGGACATAGAGGTGGCCAAGAGGGTGGGCACTTCTCCACTATCCCCCAGTAGAGAGGCCAGGCCAGGACCCAGGGCCCTCAGAGCAGCTGTAGGCTCTGGCCCAGGTTGATGGAAGCAGGGGATAGTGGGAAGGGTGTCCTGAGCTTGTCCCTCTAACCCAAGAGGGACTGGAAAAAGAAGGGGTGGTGCAAGGAAATTGGCCCAAGAACTGTGACTTCCTGCAGGATATCCTGAGGGGTGGGTGCCGGGCCAGGCCTGCACTGTGGGGAGAGGCTCCACTAACTACATCTCCCCACACTTGCCCAGAGATTTTAAGAAGATCCCCCTTCCTTCCTACAGTGGCAGGAGGGCAATCCTGCCAGCCTCATAACCCTCCCACTGCCCTTCATGAACGCAGTTGTCAGCACCCGTCCCCACCTCCGCCACCCAGAACATCACGGGCTGCCCACCTGGGTGGGTCAATGGCAAGTGTGGGGCTGTCATGAAGCAAGGAGCTCACGACCTGGCAGGGGAGGCAGGAGCCTTAACTCACTGAAGCAGCACCAGCCACAGGAGAGCCAGCCCTTGAGGGACCCAGCTCAGCAATAGATGCAGGAGGCCCTGTGGGCCAAGGCCGGGGAGGGAGGTACAACCGTGTGGCTCTGTGTGCACAGCCTGGCCTCTGCCTGCCTGCTCTCCTCTGCCTGGCACCTGCTGCTCCCACTGGGGAGCACCTGCCCCTCTCTTGTCCCAGGCTGCCACCCCCAGGAAAACAGACTCCCAGTTTTTTTCACCACAGACTCCCTAGGGCCCAGCCCAGGGCCCGTCACACACTAAGCCTATAGTAATTCCGTGTTGAATGAACAAACCACATCTTAACTACCCGGCTATGTGTCCGCCTAGCCCCGGGCTGCGAGCCACTTGAGCCAGTTCTGGCTGGCTCACCTTTGGATCCCTGAGCAGACTATGTGGGCGGCACCAAAGGAGAATGACCGTGTAAGCGGGTGTGCACGGGCAGCACTGTTCAAGTGGGGGAGAACTTGCAAGTGTGAGGTGTCAGGGGTTTTGTAAGGTGTTCACTGATGCTTCTCCATAGAGGTGGGTATTTAAGCTTGGGGGCGGAGCTTCTGTCGGGAGTCTCAAACTCTGATATGTTCAGAGTCCAAATGACTAATATAAATGAGAGAAGAGGGCCCACGGGTATAATAAAATACAGAGCGGAGGGGGCAGTGGCAAATAGAGAGCTCCCGAACTAGTGAAGAGGGTGTCCACAAAGCAGCCCGGCCAATACTGTGGGCCCAGCATCTTGTAGAAGGGGAATATATATATATATATGATTTTATTTATTTGTTTTTAGAAAGGAGAAGGGAGGGAGAAAAAGAGGGAGAGAAACATCAATGCGTGGGTACCCCTGACACACCCCGTACTGGGAACCCGGCCCACAACCCAGACATGCGCCCTAGACTGGGAATCAAACCAGCAACTCTCTGGTTCACAAGCTGGCATTCAATCCACTGAGCCACACCAGCCAGGGCAGGAATCTATATTTATTCCTACTCTAAGTGTGGTACAAGCCCTGGCCTAGGAATTGCCAGTCTGGAGTCTCTGGCCTCTATTCCCAGCCCTGTTTCCCTGCAGGACTAGGCCCATGGGGACCCACAGGGCGGGCTTCCCTCAGAAAGGACAAGGCTCTCTTCCTGGGGCCTGTCTGGCCGGGATGGGTGAAGGAATGGTCCCAGCACACAGCAAACTTGCTCCCTCACTCATCTGCCCAGCAGGTGCCTCCTGCAGGTGGTGGCTAGTGCTGCACGCTGGACTCACGTATTCCTGAGCAAAGTCAATGAGGTTCTGGAGGTCAATGTCGTCCCGATAGGCCTTGACGTTGTTGTTGATGAAGAGGTTGAGCTGGTCTCGTATCCAGTCCTTGAAGACAAAGGCCAGGATCCCTGTTGCCAGCTCCAGGAAAAAGATGAGGCCGAGGAACACTGAGAACTGGGGTGGGGGCATACAGACGGTGGGGGTCGGAGACGCAGAGCCTGGGGGTGCCACCAGGCGGAGCACAGTCCCCACCTTCTAACAATTTAGTGTTGTTTTATGTCGGTAAAACAGTGCTGTCCTTACCTACCCACCCATTCTGCTTTCTCTGGTAATTACTCGTTTTGTTTGTTCGTTTGTTTGCTTGTTTTGTTTTGAGAAACAATACTTCGCATACAAATTTAGTTCCTGTGGCTCAGCGGGAGCCATCACCTTTCCCTATTTCCAGATAGAGAACTGGGCATGCGCCAGGAGCTCACCAATCAGAACGCTACCTCCCCCAGGGCCATGGGGATTGGTCCAGACATGGCCAATCAGAATCAAGGGGGTGCAATTAAAGGACTTGGACAGAATGATTGAGAAGAGCCTCAGCCTCCAGTAGGACTTCCTAGGAGGACAGCGTGAAGCCAGTACCCACCATTCCTGGGCATCCTTTGACCCTACAGGGGATGGAACTGACCAAGAGGGACAGAACTGAGAAACAGAGAGACCAGACCAATTGACATTGTGGTGGTCCCTGGACCGGAATGTGCTGGCCGGTCCATACCCGCACACCCGTGGGCTTTTTTTAGTGAGTCAATAAATACCCTTTTATGCTTAGGTCACTGGTTTTCAGTCATTTACAAAAGAAAGAATCCTATAAATATAGATGGTACAAATCTGATATTTATTATTATAACAAAATAAAAGTATGTTATTAGGCATAAATTATATGCAAGAAGTGGGTAGGAGGAGGTTGGGGTCCCTAGTGGATCTAAAGCGGGGGGGGGGCGGTACTCACAAACTTGAGCAGGAAGGTGTTCTCCCGGAGGGCCCCGATGCAGCCAGCAAAACCCAGCACCGACATGACCCCTCCAACCACTACAAACAGCCACACGGGGTCAAGGCCTCCCAGATCTGTCAGTGCTGAGATATTGGAGAGAACGCCCTGTCCCGGGAGAACAGAGGCAAGTGGGGGTGCTGATCCTCCCACCACTTTGACCCGTGGGGCAGCCCCACACCCCAACCCTACATCTTACCTTCTCACCCCAGGCCCAGAGGCCAATGGCCAGGAACAGGGCTCCCAGCACCTGCAAGAGCAGAAGCGAAGGGTTGAGAGCTGGGGCACCAGCATCCTGCTTCACCACCAGGAAAGCCTCGCTCCCCCAGTACTCAGGGTCTCCAGGGGGAGAGAAAGGAAGAGGGTGAAGGGCTGTAAACAGATTTCAGGATCCTTTCCACCTTCCCAAGAACACATCTCAGTGCTCCCTCCCCACAGCATTCAGCCTGGAAGACTAAACACTGCCGAGCCCTGGGGTGGACATCAGGGCCTCTTCCTGGAACCCAGAACTGGAACAGAGGGCCAGTTCTCCTGACAAGTGTCAGGACACTCCTGACAAGTGTCCTGAGCCTCTCCTCCCGCCCCAGACCATGCTGGGCTCAAGGATCCTGGCCCCTACCCCTCCCAGTTCCAGCCCTCCAGCTACCCTGCAACACTCTATTTCACCATTGCTACCTCTGTCTGCCAGAGGCTGCTTTCTGTCCAGTTCCATCCTCAGAGCTCAAAACCAAAGTCCCTGCATGGAAAGGAATCCTGATGGGAGCAGGACCAATCTGCGGGGCCTCAGCCTAGGCCAGGGGCTGTATCCTAGAAACCTTGTGGCTGCAGCTCTGCCTGGGCCCTCTGATCGGCACCCACCACCCTGCTACCAGTCCTTACTGGGAAAAGGCCTGGATGTCAAGGCCACTGCCTGACCCTGAGCAGATCCCTGACCATCCTTCTGCCCAAGGCCAAGGCTGTGAGCCCACTTCTTCAGACCTCCCCCTGCCCCCCAACCCTTTCTCTACAGGCTCCTTCCACTTGGTGCTTAGCCTCGGCCAACTCCACCCACCTTTAACCCCGGGCTCCTCCCACTGCTGTGCTCTTTAGAAATGTCTTTCTTTCTTTCCCCTACACAGGGTCTGGGATGTGAAACCAAACATCACTTCTCCTGTCTCATCCCCCTTGACCCGCCCATGGCCTTTAGACAGGCTACCACCTCCTCTTTCTCCTTCCTGAACCCCTCAGTGATTAACTCAATGCCATCTTTGACCTGGCCCTTCTCAGCCTCCCTCCCACCTCCTCTGCTTTACCCACCCCATGAACACGCCCACGCCCAAGGCCCACTGGTTCCCACCTCAGCCTTCAGCCCTTTCTCCCCTACATACTCCTTTTCCGCTCCTTGATGTCACTGACATCCCAGATAACCACCCAAGCCTCTCCCTGGCTCCAGACACTGAACTGCAGACATGTCCATGTCCCAGGTTCTGTTCCAGATGCTGGGACACACCAGCAAATAGGACAGCTAGCTCTCAGCCCTCGTGGAGTTTACACACCAGTGGGGGAAATCCACAGTGAGCAAAAAAGGTAACGTCAGTGGCCAACAGATCCTTTAGAGAAAATCGAACAAGGCGACACAGTGGGGAGTGCAGAGGGGTGACTGGGGTGGGCTTTAGTTAGGGAAAATGGTGACATTTTAGCTGTGCCTGAAATGATAGAAAGGTACAGGGAGGAGAAAAGAATTCCAGGGGGAGAAAGTGGCAAAGGCCCTGAGGTTAGGTCAGTTTCGGTTGTGCAAGGGCTCAACTGAAGAAGGCAGGGCAAGACCCCAAAGGGTGCTGGAGGCCATGGGAAGGGGTCTGGACTGTATTCTAGTGAGAAACCACTGGAAGATTATGAACAGGGCAATACTGGAATCTGCTTCCCATGAAAACAAAACAACTCTGGACTGCTTCACAGGCACCTCCCTTAGGCCACCTTGACCCAAACCTGAAACCCTCCCTCTACCCCCTACCCCAAGTGGCCTGGTCCTATCAATCCAACCTTAGAACTTCCCCTGGAGCTTCCCCCCCCCACCCCACCACCACCACCCCAACTTTGCCCCAGGCCTCCTCCCTGGTCTCCCTACCTCCAACCCCTGCCCCTCACCTGCCCCCCCACCCCACCCAGTTCAGCCTCTAACACAAAAGCCAGAACAGACCCATCACTAGCATTGAAGCCCCCACTGCTCCACACTGCCCCCAACATAAAACTCAAACTCTGCCTCAGCCCCGGGGCCCTGGAACAAGCCTGGGTCTCTCCTGTCTGTCTCCCCTTGGCATCTGAGGGCTTCCTCTGCCCAGTGCTCTGCCTCGCCTCCACTCGCTGCCCACTGGGCTGTCCCCTTGACTTCGCACTTAGTGGCTGTGTGTCTCTAGGTGAAATGACTTGAACTTCTCTGGGCCTGCTCCCTTATGTGTAAAATGTAGATAATAATAATGTAGCTTCAAGAATACAGTAAATTATAGCTCATTTGATATGCCTAATCCTGGGGGCAGGCTTCATTATCACCCTCTCCCAGGGTGGGAGGCCCAGAGAGAAGTGACTTGCCCCCCGTCTCACGGATAGGCCTGTATCCACAGGCCTTCAGACCTCCCCACCAGGAAAGTCTGCACAGACCCCACACCCCCCGAGAGCTGAGCGCAGCTGGAGCCACAGGACACCCAGCGAGGGAGACTGCACGGGCAGCATGCGGGGAGAGGGCAGCGCCACGGAGGCCTGCCGAACAAAACTGAGTGGGCCTGGTGTTTTGACCAAGGCAGCCGGAGCAGAGACTGCAGAGGCAGGAGGCAGCCTTGGAGAGATGAGATGGGGGAGGGAGGGAGAGATGACTTGGCAGGGCCCAGGGGCATAGATGCCACCCTGGGAGGAGCACCAGCAGATCCATCCCCAGGACAGGGGCAGCCCCGCCCTGGAGCGCCGGGTTGGTCGGTTGTGGAATGTAGAATCCTGTTCCCCAGGGCCAGCTCCCAGCCTCCAGATGGGGAGGTCCTCCCCCAGGACTCTGACTACTGACCCTGTTGGTGTGGAAGCCTCCCAGTATGGGGCCGGACATGGAAGGGCTTTGACCCAGTCCCCTTTGCCAGAGCTAAAGGGAAGGTGCAGGCTCAGGTGCTGGAGGGGCAAGGGGACGGGGCCCTTCCCTTCTCAGCAGACTCTCCTCCCTAAACCAGGGTTGGGGCTCAGCATGCACCCCACACCTCTGGGTATCAAAGTGAGTTGGGCAGGAGGGAGGGCCAATCGCACCACACGTGCCCCTGGGGCCTTCAAGAAAACACTCCGCCTTCCCTGCCGAGCCTTAAGAAGACACAGGAAGACCCCCTTCCCTACACCGTGTCCCGCACCTCTGCAATCTGTGCTTCCCAATAGTTCCCTCCGGTGGTCTTGGGCGTTGGGCAGGCAGGTAGGAGTGTCAGGAAAGAGTAGGGAGACTGTCCTAAACCCTGGTGGCAGGGAGTGGTCTCCCTTCAGCGGGAGACTGAACCTCCTCCTCCCGGCACCCCCAGCACAGCGCCCGGAACCCACCCCTCGCTCACCCAGAAGACAATGTTGAAGCCAAACAGGAAGTATTTCCCGCAGCAGCCGACCTCGGGTTCCTGGAAGTGCTGGTGCTTGCCGGGCATGGTGAGCAGCCACCCACCGGCTGGGTACCCAGAGCTGAGGCTGGGCCCAGCCCTCCGCGGGCAGCCCTGGGCTAGAGCCGCCCTGGGCTAGAGCCGCCCGGGGCCTAGCCCGGCGGCTGCGGCTTCATGGCCAAGGCCACACAAGACCCGTCGGGCCCCGCCCGCCCCGCAGGCACCGCCCCGACTCAAGGACTGCCCCAACTCCAGGGCTGCCCCACTCTGAGCCCGCTGGGTACCCTTGGAGCACCTCCGCCCCTAGGCCTGGCTCTGCCTCTGCCCCCGCCCCGGGCTCCGCCCCCCAGCCCGACTCTCAGGCCTCTGAACCCCTGAGCCGAGCCCCACCCCTGAGCATGGCCCCGCCCCCAGCCTCGCCACACTTGTAGGCCGGCCTCCGCAGAGAGTGCGGCGGCGTCCTACCGTCCGAGCTGCGGCACTCTCTAACAGCAGCGCAAGCCGCGGGCATGAAGGACTCCCCAGTTCCCCCTACCCTGCGAGGCTCAGTACCTGCGCCCTGGCACCCCCAAGCCCCGCCCTTGCTGTGGGAGCTGATCTCTGGAGAGTAGTTACTGCACCGGCGAGCAGATGGGAATGGTGATTCACTAGCGTTCTTAACACACATGCAGACGTTTTATTACAGCGGCTCACTCACCAGAAATTCAGCCCTTCCTGTACTGGCGCAGACTCGGGCTGGGCGACTCCTGGGTCTTGTGAATGCCGCGCCAGTTGCTCCCTACCCCTTCAGTTTTTCTAAGGGCATACACCCCGCCCCTTGGCTCAAACCCTTTTGGCGCTGGGAGCCCCCCAGTCTTATCACTCTTCCCCATCCCAGCTTGGGCCTGATTGGGCTCCTGGGTACCTGGGACTCACGCACGAGCCCCTCCCAGGGAGGACTGGGCCAGATCCAGTTTCTGAAGGAAATGAATCATACTCAATGTTAGAGCCCTCCTTAAAAATCATTCCAGTTTTGTTCAAAAGAGTATTTATTTAGAACAGAAAGAGTAAGTGTCTTGTTCGAGTTTCATCAAGTTAATCTGCGTCTAGCAGGACCGAGTTGAGGCCCCACTGCTTTCTACCCTCCTGGGTAGGGCCTCATCCACTGACCTCCACTTAAGCCCTTAAGCCCCGCCCTGAGGCCAGGAAGCCCCGACAGTCCCGGCCACAGCTGAGAGGAGAGACCACAGGTGCTGTCTCCCTCCTCAGCTGCCCTCATATCCCTGCTCTGTGAGATGATGTTGTTCTGCCTCTAAGCCTCCAGCCTCTGGATTTGGGGGTGGGGAGAGGGGCACAGCTCTACTCTAGGAAGGTAGGGTCCAAGAGGCAATCCACAAAGGTTTTTCAGCAGAGTGATCACCAAGAGGAGAGGCCCCTGCTCCTGTCCCTGAACTCCAGCTCTCAGAGTGGCAGTGGCCTTGAGCCCCCTTCCCCTAGAATAGAGGGTTTAACCCTCAGGCTCCTGAGCTAGCCCCCTTCCCACGTCCCAGGTAGGCACAGAGTAAGTACGGGATCATAGGCTTTGCCCCTGTCATCTTTCTACCTGTTTGTCATTGAACCCTCCTTCACCCAGTGACCCACCCCACCCACCCCTGGGTGAACAAGGAAACCCAGGGGTTCCCTCCACCTTTCCGCTGCCCTGAGTCCTCAGCCTGCATCCCCCCCACACACATACACACACACACACATGTGTGAGCACACCCCAGCCCCAACAGAATGGTGCCTAGGCCTGGGCCCCAACTCATGTTAAAGAACATTCGTGTTCACTCCAGACTGGGCTCAGAGCAGGCTCTTGGCCCTCACCCCCAGGCCCGCCTGGGACACCTACGCACGCAGTGGTCAGGGGCTCAGGGGTGCCGAATGGGGAGCGGAGCCCAGGCCCTCTTGCACCACAAACTTGTCCTCGGCCAGGGTGTTGCTCTCAGCCGGGGTCTTGTTCTTGGCCAGGGGCTTGTTCTTGGCCACAGTGTTGCTCTTGGTAGCTGTGTCTGCATGGGTCTGGTACCCAATGATGGTCTTTGTCGAGAGTCCCAGACGCTCTTTGTAGACACGCCTGAGGGGTGAGCAGGTGAGGAAATGAGACAGGCAGGCAGCAGTGGGTCCTGGAGATAACCTCAGACCTTGGGTCCTCTGCCCAGAGCCCCTACCCTGGTTCCAGCCCCAGGTGCTCCCACGAGGTGCTTGAGCCATGTGGAAACCCAAAATAGGACTAATGCAAAAAGAAAAAAAAAGTTCTGCTAGAAATATTTTGAAATCTAGACCCCAAAGCCTTTATACACATGGGTAAGGCAAAAGGGAGAGGCTGCAAGAAGAGTTCCAGAGGTCTCCCTTGCAGACCAAACCACCCCCATTTCACCTTCTCCCCCAGAAGATCCCCGGCCCCACCCCCTGCCGGGGCTGCCCTCACCCAATGTGGAGCACAGCCTTCTGGTTCTCTGCCTCTTGAGTCCACACCGAAATCTTGTCTTTCTTGGACCGGATGTTGACGACAGCCCCACACACCTCCTGGCCGAACTCCTCAAAGCTCTCCCCAATGAGACACAACAGCTGGGGCCAAAAGGGGAGTCGATGAGACTTCCAGCTGCAGCCCAAGGACTGCACCCACCACCCGCCACCCTCAAGACCACTGCCACCATTAGTCCCATACCAGCCCTGCCCCTTCCTTCATAGGACCCTCCTGCTCAGCCCCTCCACTCACGGTCTCCAGCCACAGGCGGTCCAGATCGATGTGGCGCCGCTCCTTGGCGAGGCTGATCAGCCAGCGGCCCCCCCGCTTATTCCTGGCGTCTTCCCACGTGGGCTCAATACCGTCCTGGAAGGCCAGATGGCAAACCAACTGCTTTTGTTCAGAGGGAAGTGGGGGCCCGGCCACCTTCTCCCAGGTCTTGCTCTTGCCCCTCAGGAGGCCCCATGGACCAGGCTCTCTCTCGCCTCCATCCCCTCAGTACAGCCAGGTGCCACCATCAGCCATTCAGCCTCAACATTTGTCACCTGTTACAGCCTTTCATACGTGACAGAGCAGAATTCCTTAAGACCAGGGTTCAAATAGGGGTAATTAGCGAAGCCCCTGGGCAATCCCAGTGTGGGCCATCCCAGTGTGGGCCATGCCAGACATCCCAAGCTGGGCTGGCACAAGTTCACCTGGGAAATCTCTAGGACACTGATGTTGGGGTCCCCCATACACATCTGCTGGGCCAGCACCCCCTGGAGCTGGTCTGGGCCTTAATGAGCAGTGTCCATGAGCAATTCTGATGCCTGTTCCTAGTTAAGGACCCAGGCCAGAAACCTGGGCTCCTTCTTTGTCCCCCCAGTTGTCAGGTTCTCCGGTGGTCCTAGGTGCAACTCGTGCCTGACGCTTTGTCCAAGCTTCTCTGCAGCATCTCCTTCTCTTGTCCTGAGCCCCCCACCCCGAGCCTGCCATGAGGAAGTAACACAGCAGACACCAGAGAGAATCAGACCCCCACCTGCCCCCGAGCCCGGGGTGGCAGGGAGCAGAGCTTACCTTGAATAGGGCGTAGTCACAGCCTGCAGAGAGCTTACTGGCCAGCTTGATGTGACTGTACAGCCTGGAGAGAGTCCCCAACCCCAAGCTCAAGTCCAGGCTTTTTAGGGCCTGGTTCCAACTGGCCTCAGTCCCCTCAACTTCCTACCAGCCCCCACTGCTTTCCCCCCACCTTCTGGCCTTCAGCCTTTGGTCACACTGGTAAGTCCAGGCAGAATCCCATCATTACTTACCCAAAACCGCAAATTCCAGGAACCTTCCCTGACCATCCAAGCCTAGGGGGCAGGTTTTTAGACAACCCCTCTCCAGGATGAGTTTTTTTTCTGATGCCCCCTCCAGCTGGAACCTCAGGCCTTCTTGCCCCTCCTAGGGTTTGCATAGCACCTTTTGGGACCCCCCCCCCAGGGACCCCATGGACACTCTGAGGCAGCCTGATCCTCACTTTGTGGTTGAGACAAACTCAGACAGGGAAAGGAATTTGCCCAGGATCACAAAGCGTGAAGTAGCAGAGTCAGGGTCAACTCCTTGCGTCTCCCACTTCGCAGGCTTTCTCCCTAAGTCCCAGGAAGGCTCCATGGGGCCTGTGTCCCCGCCCCACAATGCACACTGCAGAACCCCCCAAGCCCCAGCCCTCACTAAGGCTGCCAGGCCCCAGAGAGCACTGGGAAAGCTGTGTAGGAAGCAGTCCTCCAGAGGAATGGGGTCTGAGAATGGTCTGGAGCTCATAGCCCCCTGGGCCCAGCCTCTGCCACAAGGGGTAGACACTCACACCCAGAAGTCCTCCACTGTGTCAAACTTGGTGATCTGCTGCAGGTTGTCACGCCAGGCCCGGCCGCGGTCATTCTTGAAGAACCACAGAGCCCACCTGGGGGGAGGGGTGGCCGAGAAGAAGTAGCCCCTGTGCCCACCCCAGCAGCAGCTGGGCTGGCAGGGCAGTCTCACCCCTGTAAGGACAAACTGGGGGCAGGACTCGGGGTACCATCCCCCCTAAGGCAACTGCAGTCAGTTAACCTGAAGGGCCAGGGTACTGGAGGAGCAGCGGAGGCATTCAACCTAGAACCCCAGTTAGGGTGAGGCTGGGAGGGGCAACACCTCAAGACCCAAGTCTGAGGCCAGCTCTGGCCTTCCCCAGTGAGGAACTGGGGCCCAGAGATGAAGGGGCTGTCCCAGGCCACAGAGCAGGGGCTGCCCTACCTGTTCTGCAGACGGTGCAACTCCTCCTTGACTTCCATGGGGCCCCTGATCCGGGCCCTCCGCCTAAGGGACTGCAGACTGGTGGGAGAGTTCAGAGCCTTCTTTCTCATCGACGCTTTTGCTGGTGCTGGTGCTGCCTCCTCTTCCTCTTCCTCTTTCTCCTCCTTCTCCCACTTCAGGACTTCACCCCTGGCCTCTCCAGTCTGACCAAAGAAAGGAGTTGGGGCAGGTGGGGGCCAGGGAGTCCCCTCCCTGCTGCAGGAGACATGGGCGGTGGACTTACAGGACTGGCGGTAGCCATGCTGCAGCAGCCTAGGCTTCGAAAGGGACAGAACAATTGAGAGCCCCCAGCTGCTGGCTTTTAACCCACCAGTGCCCCGCCCACACCCCACCCCACCTGCCCAGGTCTGGGCAAAGGGAGTAGCCAGCATGGAGGTGCTCAGAGGGAGAGGGGTCAGCAAGCCTTTGGTGAGCACCTTCTACATGCAGGCTCAGGGTTGGGGACAGGTGTGCCCAGGCAGACTCAACCCCGCCCACATCATGCTGGCCAGGGGTGGGAGGGGGGCTCTGAGACAGGAGGG